TCCAAGCAAGTGAAAATTCACCATTTACCAAGTCAAAATTTGACCACAATCAGAGTTTTATAGAAAAATGAGCTCTAAGAACTTCTAGATTTTATCCACTTCCCTTATTATGATGGTGGTGAATATGGATGTTGGTAGTTGTTTATTAAATGTAGGTTGAATCAATTAAGCGTTAAACTATTTGGGAATGTTATATAGCTTGTTAATATATAGCCATATAGAGTTCCATCCATTATAAGCATCATCGGTTTTGGCTGAACTGATATGTTATTATGTAACGTATCTGCGAAAGAAAAAATTATGAATAACAATTGACGTTGATAGCCTTTTCTGCCCGCTTTATGAACATATACAGATATTGTGTGTTGGGGACGTTAGATCCCCAGAACGCATTTGGGAAAAGACCTAATTTCATAAATTTATTTAGAACATTTGAATTTATTGTTTTCGTACCAAAGGCGCTCTTCTTGTGGTGTGAGCTACTTATATTCATATAAGTAGTATATAACGTGCGTTAAAAGAACGTAATGTCCGGCAGCAGAAGATGGCGAAGATCAAGAAAGGAAGAGCAAAAGCACAATGGAATTGTAAGAAAACGCATGTACAATGGAATTGGAGACAATGGATTAGTGTTTGCAACGGGAACAGTACAGTTTCATATGATGGAATGATATTTTGCAAATTGACGATTGACTTTATGGTATTCACATTTTATTGAGATAGTCTGTAATCTTTGTGCTAAATACAGTCGATTGTCCCCACCCGTGTTCTTGTTCACTACATTCTCACCTTGTCACAGGAGAACTGAAAAATTTGGCGGATCAAAACCTTTTTATTGTACATTATTAATTTATTGTGTTTTTGGGTGTATCTGTTTTACTTAACTTTGGAGCTTGCTTGCTTATATCATTATTTCGGACATTTTGGTTTCCCTTTGTCGTTGGTTTGGTATTTGGTAGTTTTGCTCCGGGAACCTACAAAATTGAAGGTTTGTTTTGTAATTGTTATAATTATTGTTGTTAGAACGACATTTGGGAAGACTATTTTTAAATCGCGAATAAACTTTGGTATCTGAATTGGAATTTGGTTTTATTGTTAATTTGGGTTCGTGGATCGCGAATAGATCGACATACCGTACTTCAGTAAAGGGAACGAGCAAAAACTTGGACGTGACAACCTTCATGTCGTATTTCACAATGGAAAATACTTTAAATGCTATTGGTGTGTTGCGTCTTTTAGTATGCTATTTGGCAACTCTCCCCAAAGACGGTTTTGAACTGTATATATACGTTTTGAATTGTGTTTGTTGTTATCGCTCGTTTCTGGCTGTTTGTGGAATATACTTCCGCATTCCAAGCTTGGACTTCTCGCTTTAGTTAGCGGGGCTGGGACGCATCAATAGCTAGCTTACTGGTCTTTGGTCACTGAGCCTTGTTTGTCGCTTACAGATTAAGTGAACTCGTGATAGCTGCAACCCTAGCACTGTGTATAACATTATTGTTAGTGACACATAAATTAGTCACATATTCTCCATAACTAAAGCGATGCGCGTTTGTTTTGATCATGTCAAAATCATGTTCTAATGCATGTTGACGAGTAATATCTAAATGGCGCTTACCAGTTTCTTTGTTAACATCAAAATACTAGGTGAAATTCTGGAAGGGTTGCAAAGTGAAGAGCACTGTTTACAAGTAAGACACTGTAGCGGTAAATAAATCCCAAAACTAATTAACTCTGTAACTCTTCGACATTGGATGCTGACCACATGTTTTAATGGACTAACCTAGCTGAAGGCGCTCGGTCATGCATCCACACCAGAGCACGTGTGGGAACGTCGTGCTCAACATCTACTGCAATCGCTAGCCAGATTAGATCAGACGATTCTCGATACATTGACAGTCAACAAATATATCTTCCGATCTCCTCGATTCTGTTTTTGGTTTCTCTTGGTGGGTACGAGTTATACTACAAGGTATTACTGGTTAAAGCGTTGTCAAACATTGAATACCTGTGCCATCTTCAACACATCCTGTTGGCTGCAATTGCATTTACTTATAGAATTTTATACTGATAACGAAGTTTAACAGTTTTTTAACAACTGATTCCTTGTTTTTCAAAACTGCATGAAGCTCGAAAGACGTTATATGTTGCTGATATGCAAATCTTAGCTTCCGTCAACTAATTGAAAGGCCCGAACTTTTCTAATAATCATGTCTATGACAGTGAACAAATTAGCGAATTCATATATATGGAGGATTATGTGGAGAAACAACTTACATTTTGACGAGTACTGTGTTTTATATTGACTACTTCCACGTCTGTGCATTTTATGACTTATTTATATATAAATATAACAACCATACAGTATTTTGCGTAGTAACTCTTGTTAGTAGTCTAGTTCGGTATTAGTACTACTTTGATAATAGACCTAATCCTTATCTGTAAGATCATGCGTGGAAGTCCAAATCGATAGAATACTACAAGTTTTCCTAACGAAACTGGTACTTATAAAGCAGGCGTATCGTTGTTTTCAATTTTCACAAGTAGTTACCAGTTAAAACTATCGGCATATCTAACCATGAAACTATGAAGACTCAATTAAAAATTGTACAAAAGTCCAGTGATGCAACATTACTACAACATTTGATGCGGAAGAATCAGTTTACAAGTTGTATATATATCTTAGTTAAAAATACTACTACGAAGAACTTCGTATAGTAAACAGTTCATGTCACGTCTCCACACTGTTATATTGCGATCCATATTTTCTATCGTAAAGAATACTACACAAAGACAACCGTTATAGAAACCACATTATTGCCTACTTATTGATGATTCTTAAGTAAAAATTGACTTCCCTGAATTTACACATTCTGTTTGCTTCGTCTGGGTGGTGAAATCTTTGTTACTATGGAAGGTGTAAGTGTTATCTATCTTTCATTGACTGCAATGTCTACGAACATGATGAACTATACAGTTTATATTTTTTAATTGATCGAGCTTACCCGTAAAAGTTCATCTTCTTATGTAAGCCAGAAGCATAGTACGGCCGGGACACCGGCTTGTCCCAATTTATCCACGATTCAGGTAACATCTGCACGCAACACGTTTTCTTCCCAGGTGAACAGAACGGGACCAAAATTTACCCAGACCGGAAGAAATGTTCGCTGAAATGGGGAGACTGGGAAGTTATGAAAAAACAATCGATCCAACGTGTGCACTACGAGATGGAGAGAGCTAAATCAACGTCCATCGCAATGATTTTGTGTTTTTGTTGCAGCAAGAGACCACTTTAATATGAAAACACGTGATATCCATGCAGCTTAACGGACTCCCAAAGAACCCCCAGCATTTGAAATACCGAATGACCACCTCTTGTGAAGCAGTTCAAGGTCATTGAAACGGAACCGCGGACAGCTTTAAAGGGTCTGATGTTTTTAACGTGCCCTTGAAATCACCAACTTCTGATCTGAACCATGTTATTAGATGCAAATTACTGGGTTGGAGTTCACGCCACCATCGAAACCAGTGGTTGGAGACTCTGGGTGATATGGCTCAGAATCAATCACGGTGAGTAGGTGTGTACACTTCTCATCTTCATTTAAACCGTGAGATTGAAATTTCTTTCCTTCTGTATTATATCCTTATATAGAATTTTTCTTTTATTTATTACTACCATCAAAGTAACTACTTCTATGAATTTGGTGTTCATCGTGTTGGGCTAATGAGGTATGGCCAATTGGACCGACGAATATATGTGCCTGGTCCTATGTTGTAGATGAGTGACTGTTACAATATAAGTGGTATATGAAATAAGAAAATGATCTCGGTTATTATGAAATGAATGTTATTTGTAAGCTGCTCTCTGAGATAACATCCACAAATCAGTTCACTTGATTATCGAAGGTTCCTCTACAGCTGGTGGCACCAACGGCGTCGTGAGGATGATTCTATTAGCTAGTATTATTTGAAAACAATCCGGCACAAGACTCCAACTTAGTGTAGGATAGCCTAAAAGAATGTAATTGCACTATCACGACTTTCAATCAGAGGCTGTGGCCAATAAAGCAGAAGAGCGGACGGCTGAGACAGCGTTTATTTCTCAACAATCGCGGTAGTGTGTATGTATAATAAGAAACAATCATATCTGTTTCTTACGCGTGATAAAGAGGGACAAAAGATATTGAATATAAATAAGGCTAAAACTGAAGTGTGACGAACAAAATAATGAGGTCTCTATTTTGTCGTTACAGAAATCATTGAATAAACTTGTCGCATGATCAGTCATATCAGAATTCAGAAATGAAGTGGTACGAAGGTATATTTGATAGGCTATCGGTATGTCGAGGGGGATTTGGTCTAAGGTGGCTAACAGTTGAAACGGATACGCAGCACGTCGTAACCACTCGTGATCTTGTAGCGCGGTGTCGAGTCGAGATTGACTATGAACACCGCTACCAAGGAAAGCGTGCCAGAATGTCCATAAAATCCCCCGGAAGCCAAATATTAGAAGGCAGTTAAGGGACCAAGTCGAGATATATTTGCTGGCGATCTCGTGGTATCGAGAGAATACCGTGATCGTGTCAGGATACAAGCTTGGTTACTGAGCCTAACTGGATTCCCGCGAGGTCACAATCGAAATATTATGTTTTTAGCACAGTTAAACAAAGAGCACATTAAAACAGTTACTGTTACAATTGGTTATAATAATTGTTGTCATTAAACCAGTCGTGCTCTCGTGATAAAAGTAAGTCACAACAATCTATTGCGGATTCGTAACCGTGTGCCTTCAGCTAGGTTTGTCTAGTGAAATTAATGGAGTCAGCATCAGTGTTGAAAAATTGTAGAATCAATAACTTTAATGATTTGTTCGCTGCTACAAAATCATCTTCATAGTCTCCCAGAAAGGTTTGGAAACAATGAACTCATTAACTCAGAGTAAGATTCCGTTTCTACATAGAACAGTCAGCCCATTGAACACCGTACCTGTTTCCGGCCCTACTGACGAATTTTTTAATAGGAAAAGTTACCTCTAGGAAAGTACTTAATTCAAGAAATGGCACAGGTCAACTGACTTCCTATCCTTACTACTTGGTCTCACTTAGACTTCGCGGGCTTCGTGACTGTGCGTTACGACCCGCAGTAACATGACTGACACACCTGAGGAAGTAAGTTTGACGATGGCTCTTCGCCATTCGCGTAATCAGTACCGTTGAATATCACACAAAAACTTAACTTCACAAGAAACAAACAATTGTTTGCACCGGTGTACATCGAAATAATCTAACTGCTTTAATCACACCCAATCTCCCTATTTTGGGCAAAATTCTGTCCGTTTTGGGTAAATCTAGGAGAAATTGCAATAGGAAAATTTGGGGAAATGGCACAAAATCCCCAAAATGTCTGAATTAATTTCGGTTTTCCCCCATATTTCCACACTGGGGGGTTTTCCCTGAAATTTACCCAGAGTTCCCCAAAATGGTATCTGGCAGTGATGGAAGGTCATTTACACACTTAGTTTCCTAAAGTAGAAGTTAGACATCTATGTGAGTTCTAATTTTGGCGATGAAAATCTATTCAAGGCAACCTAATTTCGTGCTTTTATAATAGAAATGAAAAACTGCATGATATCATGTATTTTTTTCAAGAATTCACTTCTGTCTAAGGGAAGCTCAACATTCCGCCCCGTAATTGTTCTGTTAGACACCGTCATTCCATTATGTAGTCTCCCTATTTTTCATTAGAATCGTTTCGCAGTCAAATAAGCTCCAAGATACTGACCCTTAGTGGCACTCAAGTCAATCATATTTGTCTGTGAGACTTAATTCAAGCATTTGAGAAAACAAGTATCTTTTAACCGGGGTTTTTTGGGTGAGGGTAAAAAGAAGATAGCGTACATCTGAAATATCTTAGCCCTCGGAATATCCATACAATTCCATTCTGCTTCGGTTTGGGCACCCGGGCAGTATCACAGCCTACACACAAACGATGAACTCTATGTCTATTGCAACTACTTTTCTCGCTCCGAAAAACAATCAGTCGATTCAAATAATTATCATTACTATTATTGTCATTATTAATACTATTATTATTACTATTATTGTCATTATTATTATTATTATTATTATTATTATTATTATTATTATTATTATTTTCCACATTATTCACCCTCTTTTATACTTATACAGCGGCTCATCTTTGGTGGGAATTCGACTATATCTAAACGTTCTCGAGTCACTGTCCGGTTGAAAATTGTGTGTTACCATCGAATATGAGTACTGAAGCAGTTTTTCTGAAACCACGTGCGCCATTCAAACTGGCTGCCTTCAACGTTCGCACACTTATGCAGGTTGGACAACAGATAGGGCTGGCTATGTCTTTGGAAAGTCTTAATATTGATGTTTGTTGTCTATCCGAGACCCGTTTTCAAAACTCTAGTGAAGTACTACGAATTCGCTCGACATCTGTCACTTAAAAAAGCTTGTTTTACGTGCGCTTATCCGGGGACCCTGTGGCATCTTCGTCTGGTCTTGCTGACGTTGGTGTCGCACTAAGCGCTAGAACTGGGGCAGCACTAGTCGATTGGATCCCCATTAACAGTCGGTTATGTGCTGTTAGGTTAGAAAGTTCCATCAAAGTGAGAAGAAATCGGCGTGAGAAACGATGTCTTTTCGTCATTTCCGCCTATGCCTCGACAGATTGCAGCCCAGATGCAATCAAGGATGAATTCTACCACCAGTTATCTGTTCTTCTCCAGAAAGTGCGTTCGACAGATATTGTAGTACTAGCCGGAGACTTGTATGCTCAGGCCGGGCGTCTAGGCACAGACGCGAATCAGTTAGGTGGCCGATGGGGACTCGTTGGTCGCAGGTCAGATAACGGGGACCGTCTACTGCAACTGTGCACAGACCACAACCTGTTTCTGGCTAGCACTAACTTCCAGAACAGTCATCGCCGATGTGCCACCTGGCGTCCTCCCTCTGCATCTCAAGCCTGGACTCAGACTGATCACGTCGCGATCAGCTACCGCTGGCGTGGTTGTGTACAAGACTGCTGCTCCTTTTGGAGTACCTATCTGGACTCTGACCATGCCTTGATCTGCGCCAATCTTGCCTTACTTTTCAGTGGACAACGAAGTGACCACCAGCAAAGGATTGATATTAGCAAGCTGGTTGCAACTTCTGTGTCAAGTAAGTATCGAACCGAGCTAGCCTCTAGGCTAGCTACCACTCCACCGAAAAGTATAGATGAGCATTGGTTGCGATTGCATGACGCCATGAAAATAGCGGGAACAGTCAGTTGTGGGTTTGCGAAACGTCCCGCTTTTAAGCACTGGGTTTCTTCTGGTTCCTTACAACTCATTGAAGCCCGTCGGTCTACTCCGGGTGACCGTGAGTTTGACCATAAACGAAGGATGTTATGTAAGGAAATTGGGCAAAGCTTGCGTAAGGACCGAGAAGCCTGGTGGTCGAAGCGTGCTAATGAGCTGGAAGCAGCAGCTGCATCTGGTAACTACCGGAAGCTCTTCCAACTCATCCGAGCCACTGGCAGCAAGAAGTCTGGTATGAGCGAAACAATCTGTGAGGATGATGGGATGCCAATCACTAACATCCATCGACGTCTTGGACGATGGGCAGAATTCTTTGAAGGACAGTTCAACTAGCCTGCTACTCCGGCAACATCGGTCAGACTGTCCTGCCCTCCATGGCCGGTGACGACTGATCCACCAAACGAGGAGTAAGTCCGCAAGTAACTCCAACTCTTGAAGCGCTACAAATCACCGAGCCCAGATGACTTACCTCCGGTGTTGACTTTCTGGCTAAGGAATTGACGACGTTGTTTACAAAGGTTTGGGGACTAGAGAGTGTACCAACGTCATGGAATGAGTCGATAGTTGTCCCTATCTTTAAAAAGGGTTCACGTCGTTCCTGCAACAACCATCGGGGGATAAGTCTACTTCCGATTGCGTCCAAGCTATTGGCTTCCGTCATACTTCGTAGGTTGTTCAAAACCCGAGAAAGATTGACTCGCGAGGAGCAGGCTAGGTTTCGTTCTGGTCGAGGATGTATTGATCATATCTCTACCCTCCGCCAAATGTTAGAACATCGCCATACTTATCAAAGGCCAACAATCGTAGTGTTTCTTGACATCAGGGCTGCCTTCGATTCGTTGGACAGCACTGTTCTCTGGGATTGTCTATTGAAGAAGGGTGTGCCTGAGAAGTTTATTAATATCCTAAAGGCCCTATATAAAAACACCTCAGGCAGAGTGAGGGCATACAACCACCTTTCTCCATTGTTCCATTCGAGCAGTGGGATTAGGCAGGGTTGCCCAATCTCACAATTCCTCTTCAACTTTGCCATCGATAACATTCTGGAAACAGCTCTGATGGATGTAAGTAGTGGTGGTGTGGATCTGTTGCCTGGAAAAAGACTTCTCGACCTTGAGTATGCGGATGATATTGTCTTACTGTGCGATAATGCCCAAGGCATGCAATCCGCACTTAATCAGTTGGCAATGAGTGTCCGTAGGTATGGTATGTGCTTTGCACCTTCGAAGTGCAAAGTACTCCTACAAGACTGGCAGGATTCCAATCCTGTACTCACCCTGGATGGTGAGCGGATAGAAGTAGTTGAGAAGTTCGTGTATCTAGGTAGTTGTATAAGTGGCGTGAGTGATGAGATCAATGCACGTATAGTGAAAGCCAGAGCGGTTTATGCCAATCTGGGCCATCTTTGGCGCCTTCGTGATGTTAGTCTGGCTGTAAAAGGTCGGATCTACAACGCGTCGGTGAGAGCAGTTTTGCTCTATGCTTGTGAAACCTGGCCTCTCCGAGTTGAGGATGTTAGACGACTCTCTGTGTTCGATCATCGTTGTCTCCGAAAGATTACTGACATCCAGTGACAACACCATGTTAGTAATGCAGAGGTTCGGCATCGTTTGTTCGGGCACAGAGACGATCATGCAATTGGTGTCACCATCTTGAAACACCAACTTCGGTGGCTTAAACATGTTTTACGAATGTCGTCACAGAGAATCCCACGTTGTGCAGTATTTGCCGACGCTGGAACTGGTTGGAAAAAGCGAAGTGGTAGTTAATGTATGACATGGTGTCGTGGTATTAAAGAAAACTGCAAAGGGCTGGTTTTTGTTTGTCCTTCACGGCTCCCTGGCTGGGTTCCTAGAGATGGTACTACACAGTGTCTAGAGACGTTATCAGATATGTCTCAGAATAGAAGCCAGTGGCGATCCTACTGTAACCTTTTTTTACTTTATTCATAGAGAATGGTTCTGTTTCCCTTACCTGAAAGATTTCTTCCGATTGTAACTTTGCGTTCCCTGATTACTAGTACATTACCTCACACCAATCTCCTCGTTATTGTTCTCTTTTTTTTTGTTGCGCTCCCTACCTTTTTTTCTTTCTTTGTATTCCTCTCGAATTTTCATTGTTTTGTGTGGCGCATATATATTGGCGCTCTCTTGTACAAATATTCATGTGTCCGAATAAATAAAAATAAATAGGATAATGGTAAAGGTCACTTTAAACTTATTACTTGCAAACTCATTCGATACTTCATTATTGTCGAGTTTGCTCTCCAACGTCTAATATTTTATATCTCTTTTCGTTGAAAATTCGTTAGCCAGACTGTTTGGCTAGTATCTGCGCGATTATCATGACCTGTAGTTGAAGATGTTGAATGATATGGTTGAAAATCGGTTGAAATGACGTGGGCTCGCATTTCCTTAAACAATTTATATCTTTGTGTTTTCTTTACAGTCTTCAAAAAGCAAAATGAAAAAAACAGCTAATACAACTGATATGTCGGATAGTTCTAACTCACTTCCTAATACTGATAAATCTTTGTCATCTGGACAGTTCCCAAACGGGATTAATGAGAAACTTTTAAAGCAACTCACCAACGTCATGTTGGTCTCTGGATCTGGTAGTTCTAGTGGTGTGACAGAAAAGAAGTCTAAAAATGACTATCGATTCTGGAGAACACAGCCAGTTCCTGACCTCAGTAAGTTACATTTTCACTTCTTTACTGATAAGTATTTTAGTTTTTCAATGTTCTAAGATCACTTGATCTAGTTGTGTAACCTTACGCATATATGAGGTAGATCGTTTAAATGAATGAAAACTACTATTAATAAACATTCAGAACATCACAATGCTGAATATGAAACTAATAACACTGACGTCTATGTAAAATAGTACGGCAAAACTTATATCCCAGTTTGTAGATAATTGGTCAGTCAGTCAGTAACAACGTAGAACTTCGTACATACATACATCAGTTCGAGTTGCCACACCACATTAACACAAATGCAGTGGTCTATTCAAATCCCGTAGTGCTAGATGTAGTAAAATTATAAGCTGTTATCAGAAAAAAATAGGGTTTGAAGATGTTATTCAAGGAGTATAATCCAGTAAAATAAATTTGGAAAGAGGAAAAAAGAGACATGAAAAATTCAGAAGATTAGAATTTGTGAGAACACAAAGAGTGGATGCACCTGCGCCATTGCAAACGATTTTAAGCCATGTCACTCAGGGTCTCTAACCATCGGTTGCTATCATCTCGCGGTCCCCAACCAGGTAGTCTACACCTACCAACATGACTCAGTTCACTTGTCAGTGACTTCATGGACTTGTGCCATGTTTTGGTTCGGCCGCCTCTAGCTTTCTTCCAATCTACTCCTATACCACTGAACATCGCACGTCGAGGCAGTCGGTGGTTGGGTATACGTAACACGTGTCCCAGCCATCTCAACTGATCAAGTTTCACTACTTCATCAATTGATTTGCCATCCTTGCCTAGTACTTGTTTCCTATCAACTGCATTACTTACTCGATGGTCCCATGATATACGAGCAATATTTCGAAGACACCTATGATCAAATACTAGTAGCCTACGGATGTCCTCTACTCTTACCGGCCATGTTTCACTGCCATAAATTAGGACGGAACGAACTGCTGCGCAGTAAACCCGTCCTTTGGTTGATAGACGGATATCTCGCCTACGCAATAAATGACGCAAGTTGGTAAAAGCTAGTCGAGCCTTCTGTATCCGTGCTGAGATTTCGTCACACACCAGACCACAAGGGCTGATTAGACTTCCAAGATAAGTGAAGTGAAGTCCAATCATTTAGATGATTGGACTCTTCAGGAGATGTAGTTTTGAATAATCGAAACAATTCAAGAATATATATATAAGGCGTACTCAGATGTAGCCACTCAACTTCCAGCTATTAAAATATTACCTCTAATTTGTCTTCAATGATCACATTTAAAACACATGGGGTTAACCTACAACCCAATGCGTAAAATTAGATATTTCGTCGCATGTATTACTATGGACAATTCACAACGAATAGTTTTGTAGAAATAACCTACATTCGGATCATATCTACTAGATATAAAATGGTTGGTTTCAACTTAGTAGTTATTTAGAAAACTCGATGTCTGATCGGACAAACGATGGTTTACTCACTAATATGCGGAATGCGTGTTGTATACTTATTGCCAATTTATATTAACGCTAACCGTCCTAACATTTTGGTAGTTAAGGATGAGACATTTGTAAGATCATATCGTACGCTGTAATGTATAGTAAATGCATTCCGAAACGGTGTCAATCTAAGGTTACTGTTTTTATGGACCTATTGGTTGACATCTGAAGTTTAAGAGACACCAAAGATGATAGTGCCAATGAGCTAATATATTCGACAGTGGTCTTGAGTGCTGTTAAAGATATGAGGGCGGTTATCACTTCCCGGTTGCCCACATTATGGAAGGGTTCTTCTAGAAGTACCTGAAAAGGAAGTTGGGTTTGAGTTGGTCTTAGTGACTTGAGAGCGTGACCACAGTGTCAAAGGGCCAACTGCTTGATGCCGGTCACACACGACCTTTTTGTGGTTAATTTTTGTGTTAGCTCCGTACTTGTTGGGACCTTATCACTGGAGACGGATATCTGTGGAATAAGGCGAGATGTGCATTTTTAGAGCCAACTTTTTGTAACCCCGCCCTTCCTTTGTGGGAAGGCAGCATCTCTGTCATACTGGTTGACTGAGGGAAGCACCTTACTGCCGTCACACCTATATACAGTCAGCAGTACGACTTTGCCCTCGGACCTTGGGTTTAGTACTTTTAGTCTTACCGTTCTTCAACCGACCTGTCTGGTATGGTAGGACCTTGAGGAACGATTGTTTTAGCCAATATAGCTTGATTGGTTCATCACAATAGTCAAGCTCGACCACCACGTCAAGATAGCAGCAACGGTTGTAGCTGACTGACTGACTGAATATATTCGACAAGGATGCGAATTGTCATCAACTCAATTTATTTTCTCAGACAATCTATCTCCAAACTGTGACATCTAGGATATGAAGTATGTTTATACTATATATGTTAACCAGTGATTTTTATTATCATTATTATTATTTATTAACTATCAAAAGAACACCGTATACCTCATAAAAACTTATTGGGGACTTCTTATAAGCCTTCAAAACAGTATGAATAAATTGGCTAAATTATGACTGTTCTCTGTTACTAGTAATGGATTTACATCCACTCTCTGTAAGTTCCAGCAGACTTTTACAACTCAATGACTTTTTTCATCATACTGTTTTTTTACCTACCACGTTAAATGAGTTTATCTCAAAGTATTTATTATTTGAGTTGTCTTAGACTACATTTATTAATGCGATTTTACTTTGATATTAGAGCTGTTTTATTGCGAAGATGAAGTAAGGTGTTGACGGCAGGTACAATTATTGAAATATTTAATATTTTATCGGTAAAGATTAGATTCAGTCGGTCAGTAACAACGTAGAACTTCGTACATACATACATCAGTTCGAGTTGCCACGCCACATTAGCACAGAGATGCAGTGGTCTATTCAAATCCCGTAGTGCTAGATGTAGTAAAATTATAAGCTGTTATCAGAAAAAATTAGGGTTTGAAGATGTTATTCAAGGAGTATAATCCAGTGAAATAAATTTGGAAAAAGAAAAAAGGAAGGGACATGAAAAATTCAGAAGATTAGAATTTGTGAGAACACAAAGAGTGGATGCACCTGCGCCATTGCAAACGATTTTAAGCCATGTCACTCAGGGTCTCTAACCATCGGTTGCTATCATCTCGCGGTCCCCAACCAGGTAGGAAATTGTTATCTCTAAAAGCACGTCAACGACAAAGTTAAAAAAGAATGGAGAGAGTGGACAACCTTGACGAACACTACTTGAGGTAATCAATTCTGATGACAGTTCACCATAAGCTCTCACTCGACCAGTTGTGTTCGAGTAGAGAGTTTTTACAAGGTTAATGTACTTCTTTGGTACTCCTTTCAGTGACAAACACTGCCATAGAACCTCACGATCAACAGAGTCGAATGCCGCCTTAAGGTCGAGAAATACTACGATTGTGGGACGTCTGAATGTTTGTCTATGCTCTAGGACCTGATGTAGTGTGAATATCTGGTTTATACAACCACGTCCAGGTCGAAAACCAGCCTGGTTTTCTCTAGTCTGCTCTTCACGAGCTTTGGTTAGGCGTCGAAGTATTATGGAAGCTAATATTTTAGACACTATATTAGTCAAACTGATTCCTCTGTGATTGTCACAAGAGGACTTTTGTCCTTTCTTACAGACTGACACAATCAGTGATTGAGACCAGTCAGATGGGATTACGTCCAGTTCCCAAATTCTACCTAAGACCTCGGTTAATCTCACTTCTAATACTGGACCACCATCCTTAAAAATCTCAGGAGTAAACCTATCAGGGTCTGCTGCTCTACCACGCTCCAGATTTCCTATAGCTTTTTCAACTTCCTCAAGAGTCAGAGGGCCTACATTAACTTGCCATTCAGGTCGACTGGAGATCGTGGGAAACCGAAGTGTATCTGAAGTCCAGTTGAACTGATCCCTAAAGTGTTCTGCTCATCGATTCAATCTCCTGGATTGAGAATGTATAATATGTCCATTTTCTCTGAGATAGTTTCGCTGACAGTCGTGTTCCTAATACCGGTTTCCTTAACAAGCCTGAACAGTTGTCTGCTATTACCTATTGCCACTGCCTTTTCCATCTCTCTTGCTTTCACTACCCACCACTGTTCACGATCATTGCGTAGGCTTCTTGTCAGCTTGCGCGTAAGCTGACTCCGCTCTTCGTTATGTCCAGAGTCAGATGGGATGAGTTTTCGAGCATCTATCAGCGCGGTAGATGCTGCTGAGATCCAGTGTTGTTCCCTAACCTTATGGGTTACCGTACTAGCAGATATCACTGCTGTTTCCACGTCTTTTCGTATGTCATTCCACGCTGCCTTGGGGTGGGCATCATTTACATGGCTGCCAAACTGTTTTTCTAGTTCCTGAAATATACTCTTAGCTTGACTTTCATTAAGTAGGGCCCTAAGACGTTTCCTTGCAGCGTCTTTCTGACGTTCAGTAAGACGCAGACAAATACACGCTCGCACTAGAACATAATCTGAATCTAAACATGCGCTCCAGAATGAGTGACAGTCTTCTATCGAGCCCCTCCATCGGTGACTGATAGCGATGTGATATATTTGGGTCCAACGTTTGGACGAATTAGTGGGGTCGTCATGTCAAAATATGTTTTTCCTTATGCTTACAGTTAGTATTTGCAAGAAACAGGCAGTTATTTGAGCATAGCTGTAACGGACGGTCACCGTTATCTGTCCTTTGCACCATGACACTATAAGATCCACCCAGGTGTTTTTCCCTTTCTCTCGGTTTACCCACTTGAGCGTTGAAGTCACCAGCCAACATTACTACGTCGGAGCGCGTATCTTTTCGGAGAAGGTCGGGAAGCTTTCTGTAAAACTAATCTTTTACATCATCTGAGATGCAGTCAGTGGGAGAATAGGCAGAGACGACAAAGAGGCAACGACGAGTGTCGCTATCTTTCCGAGTCCTTACTGTTCCGTTTAGTCAGACAGTGCACAAACGACTGTCTACTGGGATCCAGTCTAAGAGAGCTAGTTCTGCCCTAGAACTCAATGCTATACCTACGCCAGCGAAGCCACGGGAAACACCATCAAGGCTTCCAGATACATGAAGCGTGAATCGAGTTGGTTCTTTATTTTGACATGGTGAGGTCAAATGAATGACACTACTCGGATCCTGTATGCGCGTTTCGGAGACGCAGCACACATCGATGGTGCGAGATTCTAAAGCCCTAGCTAAGGAAGCCTGTTGTCCCATTTGGCACAGTGTTCGGACATTAAAAGCTCCTACCTGTAGTTTAGAGCGTGGTTTCAGGAGACCGGGAATAACGTTCCGCGTACTCGAATCGTTTGCTCTAACGGTGCAAGGTGATAAAGAGACTTGAGAAGGTTTAGTCGTGAGGATGAGAGAGTTATTAGGAGGTGTAGGAAAGATTTGAATGTGACCAACTTGGTGTCGTGTGCTATTACGGGTATGAAGGCTGATATCACTTCCCGGCTGCCCACACCGTGGAAGGGTATTTTTGAGGAACCGGAAAAGGAAATCGCATTAGTGTTGGTCTTAACAACCTGTGAGCGTGACCCCAGAGCCCAAGGGACAACTGCTTGAGGCCGGTCGCTCACGGCCTTTTCGTGGGAGGTTTTTAATGTGCTAGCTCCGTTCTTCAAAGGGCCTTACCTCCGGAGACGGAAATCCGTGATGCATGGTGAGGTGTGACATTTTTAGGGTCAAGCTTCTCTAACCCCTTCCTTCATTGTGAGAAGGCAGCATCTCTGCAGATGCTGGTTGTCCGAAGGAAACAGCTTACTGCTGCCACACCCCTCTACAGCCAGCAGTACGGCTTCACCCTCAGACCCTGAGTTGCTGCTTTTAGTCTTACCGTTCTCCAATCGACCTGCCTGACGTGGTAGAACCTACAGGAACATATGTCCAAGCCAGTATAGCTCGGTTGGGTTATCACGATAGGAAAGCCCGACCACCGCGTCAAGGTAGCAGCTACGGTCGGGAAAGATCGAATTGTAGATAGTGCTCGAAATATCAGTATAAGATTTGCCAGTGGAAAACACAACTATAGTTTGTTGTGTTAAGCTAATCTATGCTTTACCTTTCAGCTGAAGAGATTACTGACAACGGTCCAATTGAACCAGATTCAAAACATGAAGATATCCGCTCACAGCCTTATACATTACCCGAAGGATTTTATTGGTGTGAAGTTTCTTTGGATGATGAAACTGAGGTAAGTTTTCATTTTCGACAACTTTCTGAACAATTGTAATGTTATTATCTGCTGTTCTTCGAAGTATGAAATTTTAATTGGTTACGATTAACACTTCAGTTTACCTAAATACAATTCTTATTAATCACTTTATCGTCTTGGTACGAATATATGAATTCCTTAGTTCTCACCACGAACTGCATCAGAAGCTGCAATTTACATTTATGACTCTTGAAAGCAGAAATTGGTTGATAACAGTCTACAATATTCCCCAAGTATTCATTCTGTTTAATTACACCACCTTGACACTGAATAATCAGCTTATCATTAATTTCTATCCCTATATTTATATTGGTCCTGAAAATTAAAATTTTGACCAGCTTTTATATTTTTGACAGCTTTTAAAGCTAATATGGTTGCAGATGTAGTCTGTTTGTCTCTCGAGGTAAAAGACGATAGGATACGTTATGGTTCAGCAGTTATGTGCATCAAATAGCAAACTGCACAGTCTAAGGGATTTTCTTGGGACAGTTCTGGCGATTCATATACTTCCGGCTACTAGAGTTGTGGATTTTAAGTATACAAAAGGGTGGTAATGTAGTTTTGCCATTGTGTATCTTATTCATTGAGTACTCTAACAATATGGTGCGTTTGGCGAAGCCCATCATCAACATTACTCAGTGAATGCTTTGATGAGTGCTAACAATAGTTGTTAACGATGCCATGTTAGCTAGTAAAGATATTAAATTTGAAATGCTTCGAATTTTCTACACTAGTATGTAGTTTTTAATCAGATGTTAGGTCTACAGATCAGTATCAGTCTACAAAAGCATCGCATCAAATGATATACTTTAAAAATGGTATATTCATTCTTAAGATTTGTAACCATGTCAAGATTTTCCCTTTTTCCTTTCACCTTTCTTTTTTGATAACAAATGTTGCGCACTAAACTGGTATACTTAGTATTTAGGTTCTCAGTTATTTACGCCCATTTATATTACGGACTTGAATACATGTGACTGGTTACTATAATATATGACTTACTACAAAGAAAAGTATGAACTGGTTTCGGTGTACGTTATGATATTTTTATTTACCTGGCTTTTCATTTTGCTAATACTTATAGCTACAAGAATTGTATGATCTTTTGTATGAAAATTATGTTGAAGACGATGATCATCTCTTCCGATTTGATTATTCCAAGCATTTCTTACAGTGGTAAGTGTAACCAAAGTCTATTTCGCCCATCATTGGGTCATTTCACATAACTTCTTTACCAATTATAGGTTTATGTACATGCAGACAGTTCTGATGAGGGTTAGTAATACTCCCTGAAAAGTATGCGAAGTGAAGTTCAGTGATTAAAGCATTCAACTTTCAATCAGTATGTCCCAGGTTCAAACCCGACCCCACTGGCTTTGCAGCCGGGTGTTACTACTAGCTCTCACACAATATGTTTCAAACTGGGTGAACAAAATAAGTAGGTCATGGAATATGACAGCCATGAAATCATTTCAAATCAGAGAGTAATGGATAGTTGTCTCATCTTATTCTGGTGCTTCTTAACAAGATGCGCCGTTAATATATAATATTTATCTCCAGTTTCTTCCAAGTAACTAGTTATATTTTAGATTTCGTTAGATTTTCATTGTTTTTTCCAGTGACTATACTTCTATGTTTCTTTTTAAAACACGTTCAAGTTGTATGTTCACGCGATGTTTAAGTTCTGACCAGTGCATTATAATATCTGTCCAGCGACTGTCCCAGTTGTAGTCACCTAGGTCCTGTAAATAATTACAATTCATATTTCATATGAACTTTATTCTCATAGTACACTAATTTCTATTCTTTGGTATTAATGTCATTAAAAATGTCTTTATATACAATTTATCTTCGTTTAGGATCTTAAAGTCACCTGGTTGGCATAAAGATTGGCATGTTGGACTTCGTGTAACTAAAAGTAAAAAACTGGTTGGATTTATAGCAGCTATTCCATGCCACCTACAGATATATGATAAGTAAGAGGCTCATCCACCTTTTTTTGACTTTTTCATATCTACACAAAACATGTACCTCAGTCAGTCGGTTAGATACAACCTAGGACCAGGCGCATACATGCATCGGTCCAATTCGCCATTATTTTATTTATCTGAACACATAAATATTGGTACAAAAGGGCACCAAATATATATGCGCCACACAAAACAATGAGAATGGAAAGAGAAAAAAAGAAGGTAAGGAGCGTAAAAAAAGAACAATAACGAACAGATTAATGTAAGGTAGTGTAATAATAATAATGATAATATTAGTAATACTGGGGGAAGTGATAAGGTACAATCTAAAGAAATCTTTCGGTTAAGGAAGAAACAACCATTTTCTATGAATAAATTAAAAAAAGGTTACAGTAGGATCGCCACTGGCTTCTATTCTGAGACATATCTGATAACGTCTCTAGACACTGTGTAGTACCATCTCTAGGAACCCAGCCAGGGAGCCGTGAAGGACAAACAAAAACCAGCCCTTTGCAGTTTTCTTTAATACCACGACACCATGTCATACATTAACTACCACTTCGCTTTTTCCAACCAGTTCCAGCGTCGGCAAATACTGCACAACGTGGGATTCTCTGTGACGACATTCGTAAAACATGTTTAAGCCACCGAAGTTGGTGTTTCAAGATGGTGACACCAATTGCGTGATCGTCTCTGTGCCCGAACAAACGATGCCGAACCTCTGCATTACTAACATGGTGTTGTCACTGGATGTCAGTAATCTTTCGGAGACAACGATGATCGAACACAGAGAGTCGTCTAACATCCTCAACTCGGAGAGGCCAGGTTTCACAAGCATAGAGCAAAACTGCTCTCACCGACGCGTTGTAGATCCGACCTTTTACAGCCAGACTAACATCACGAAGGCGCCAAAGATGGCCCAGATTGGCATAAACCGCTCTGGCTTTCACTATACGTGCATTGATCTCATCACTCACGCCACTTATACAACTACCTAGATACACGAACTTCTCAACTACTTCTATCCGCTCACCATCCAGGGTGAGTACAGGATTGGAATCCTGCCAGTCTTGTAGGAGTACTTTGCACTTCGAAGGTGCAAAGCACATACCATACCTACGGACACTCATTGCCAACTGATTAAGTGCGGATTGCATGCCTTGGGCATTATCGCACAGTAAGACAATATCATCCGCATACTCAAGGTCGAGAAGTCTTTTTCCAGGCAACAGATCCACACCACCACTACTTACATCCATCAGAGCTGTTTCCAGAATGTTATCGATGGCAAAGTTGAAGAGGAATTGTGAGATTGGGCAACCCTGCCTAATCCCACTGCTCGAATGGAACAATGGAGAAAGGTGGTTGTATGCCCTCACTCTGCCTGAGGTGTTTTTATATAGGGCCTTTAGGATATTAATAAACTTCTCAGGCACACCCTTCTTCAATAGACAATCCCAGAGAACAGTGCTGTCCAACGAATCGAAGGCAGCCCTGATGTCAAGAAACACTACGATTGTTGGCCTTTGATAAGTATGGCGATGTTCTAACATTTGGCGGAGGGTAGAGATATGATCAATACATCCTCGACCAGAACGAAACCTAGCCTGCTCCTCGCGAGTCAATCTTTCTCGGGTTTTGAACAACCTACGAAGTATGACGGAAGCCAATAGCTTGGACGCAATCGGAAGTAGACTTATCCCCCGATGGTTGTTGCAGGAACGACGTGAACCCTTTTTAAAGATAGGGACAACTATCGACTCATTCCATGACGTTGGTACACTCTCTAGTCCCCAAACCTTTGTAAACAACGTCGTCAATTCCTTAGCCAGAAAGTCAACACCGGAGGTAAGTCATCTGGGCTCGGTGATTTGTAGCGCTTCAAGAGTTGGAGTTACTTGCGGACTTACTCCTCGTTTGGTGGATCAGTCGTCACCGGCCATGGAGGGCAGGACAGTCTGACCGATGTTGCCGGAGTAGCAGGCTAGTTGAACTGTCCTTCAAAGAATTCTGCCCATCGTCCAAGACGTCGATGGATGTTAGTGATTGGCATCCCATCATCCTCACAGATTGTTTCGCTCATACCAGACTTCTTGCTGCCAGTGGCTCGGATGAGTTGGAAGAGCTTCCGGTAGTTACCAGATGCAGCTGCTGCTTCCAGCTCATTAGCACGCTTCGACCACCAGGCTTCTCGGTCCTTACGCAAGCTTTGCCCAATTTCCTTACATAACATCCTTCGTTTATGGTCAAACTCACGGTCACCCGGAGTAGACCGACGGGCTTCAATGAGTTGTAAGGAACCAGAAGAAACCCAGTGCTTAAAAGCGGGACGTTTCGCAAACCCACAACTGACTGTTCCCGCTATTTTCATGGCGTCATGCAATCGCAACCAATGCTCATCTATACTTTTCGGTGGAGTGGTAGCTAGCCTAGAGGCTAGCTCGGTTCGATACTTACTTGACACAGAAGTTGCAACCAGCTTGCTAATATCAATCCTTTGCTGGTGGTCACTTCGTTGTCCACTGAAAAGTAAGGCAAGATTGGCGCAGATCAAGGCATGGTCAGAGTCCAGATAGGTACTCCAAAAGGAGCAGCAGTCTTGTACACAACCACGCCAGCGGTAGCTGATCGCGACGTGATCAGTCTGAGTCCAGGCTTGAGATGCAGAGGGAGGACGCCAGGTGGCACATCGGCGATGACTGTTCTGGAAGTTAGTGCTAGCCAGAAACAGGTTGTGGTCTGTGCACAGTTGCAGTAGACGGTCCCCGTTATCTGACCTGCGACCAACGAGTCCCCATCGGCCACCTAACTGATTCGCGTCTGTGCCTAGACGCCCGGCCTGAGCATTCAAGTCTCCGGCTAGTACTACAATATCTGTCGAACGCACTTTCTGGAGAAGAACAGATAACTGGTGGTAGAATTCATCCTTGATTGCATCTGGGCTGCAATCTGTCGAGGCATAGGCGGAAATGACGAAAAGACATCGTTTCTCACGCCGATTTCTTCTCACTTTGATGGAACTTTCTAACCTAACAGCACATAACCGACTGTTAATGGGGATCCAATCGACTAGTGCTGCCCCAGTTCTAGCGCTTAGTGCGACACCAACGTCAGCAAGACCAGACGAAGATGCCACAGGGTCCCCGGATAAGCGCACGTAAAACAAGCTTTTTTAAGCGACAGATGTCGAGCGAATTCGTAGTACTTCACTAGAGTTTTGAAAACGGGTCTCGGATAGACAACAAACATCAATATTAAGACTTTCCAAAGACATAGCCAGCCCTATCTGTTGTCCAACCTGCATAAGTGTGCGAACGTTGAAGGCAGCCAGTTTGAATGGCGCACGTGGTTTCAGAAAAACTGCTTCAGTACTCGTACTTGGTTGTAGCATACAATTTCCAACCAGGCAGTGACTGGATAACGTTTAGATAGAGCTGAATTTCCACCACAGGCGAGCTGCTGTATAAGTCGAAAAACAAGTATACACAGAATGGGAATAAAAGAGGGTGAATAAATGACGTAGTAAATAATAATAATAGTAATATTAATAATCTGAATCGTTTGATTGTTAATCGAAGAAAGACAAGTATTTTCCATAACTATCGACATTTCATCATATTTGTGTGTGTGTGTGTTTGGGCTGTGATACTGCCCGGGTGCCCAGACCAAAACAGGTGCTTTTCTTCGGGGGCCACACCCCGAGCCTTCAACCTAAAGGTCTAACCCACAAGGCAGTGGAGCATCGTGAGGAGATGCATTCCCATGATAGCCGGTGACCAACGATTGGTTCATACGCCATTTGTTCCCTCAGGATACTGTAGCCCATGTGCACCATTGGTCTGGCATCCGGTTAAAGCGCCGGACATTCGCTTTTCGTCCTCTCATTTCCGTAAACAACATCCCCGCCACGATAAGTCAGTGAGTAGGACTTCCCTGGCAGAGGCTTTATACGCGTGGCCGTGTGAGAGTATATTTCCCACCTCACTCTCGGCATTTGGGGACAAAATCTGTGCTCCGAGAAAGGCCATACCTCATTAGCACAACAAGATGAACACCGAATTCATAGAAGTAGTTAATTTAATAGTGGTATTACATAAAAGAAAGTATTGGTTGGTAGAAAGAAAGATATAAAGCAATTTTAATCTCATAGTTTAAGGGAAGACGGAGAGTGTATACACCTACGCCATTGTGATCGGATCTGAGCCATGTACCTAATATCTCTTATCCTAACATTGGTGAATTGGAATAGTTGGACATTAGTTTATGTTCGTGTGATTGGTTCTGGTTAATGGTTCAGGATGTCTATCATTTAAAGATGACTGCGATTTTATATCTTCTCCCTAGGTTTGTTACTTGACCTTGCTATCAGTTGGCATTATATAGACTATTGCTGAAAGTCAAAGAACTGTATAAAATATTGAGTTGCCTTTTTATTCTGAGTAGCCAGCCTAAGAAATGCACTAGTTCATAAAGCTATTGACTTATTGATTTGACTCGTATTGGAAGGATAGAAAGAATTAGTAGGTAAAGTCAGTCAGTCAGTCAGTAACAACGTAGAACTTCGTACATACATACATCAGTTCGAGTTGCCACACCACATTAACACAGATGCAGTGGTCTATTCAAATCCCGTAGTGCTAGATGTAGTAAAATTATAAGCTGTTATCAGAAAAAAATAGGGTTTGAAGATGTTATTCAAGGAGTATAATCCAGTAAAATAAATTTGGAAAGAGGAAAAAAGAGACATGAAAAATTCAGAAGATTAGAATTTGTGAGAACACAAAGAGTGGATGCACCTGCGCCATTGCAAACGATTTTAAGCCATGTCACTCAGGGTCTCTAACCATCGGTTGCTATCATCTCGCGGTCCCCAACCAGGTAGTCTACACCTACCAACATGACTCAGTTCACTTGTCAGTGACTTCATGGACTTGTGCCATGTTTTGGTTCGGCCGCCTCTAGCTTTCTTCCAATCTACTCCTATACCACTGAACATCGCACGTCGAGGCAGTCGGTGGTTGGGTATACGTAACACGTGTCCCAGCCATCTCAACTGATCAAGTTTCACTACTTCATCAATTGATTTGCCATCCTTACCTAGTACCCGTTTCCTAACAACTGCATTACTTACTCGATGGTCCCATGATATACGAGCAATATTTCGAATATTAAAGATTCCCATTGTGAAAATTAGAACAACACATATAAGCGAACAATTGTTTTCAATTAGATCGTCATCAGGCTTTACTCTAATAAACATGGATATTTATACGAAAATTTTAAACCAATCAAGGCAATATTAGTCAATAATCACAATGAAATAGAATAAGTCACTACACATAAAATAGGTAAAAGTACAAGTTGATAGTAGTAGGAAGACAGGTGAACAGATAGTGGTAAGAATAATAAACTATAATAACAAAACTCTTATCAATAGTTAATCGTTGGAAATAGAAGGTCAAATAAACATGGGTAAATAGACTAGGAATAGTAATCACAAAACCTTAAAAATCATTACGTAATAAGATGTGTGTAAATAATTAGATAGTGAAGAATACAAAGAGGCGGATAATGACAAACAAATAATGGATGTGGAAATAAGGTTAACAATAACACAAATAGAATAAAATAAATAATGATAATAATAAAATTTAAAATAAAAATAAAAAAAATAAAAAATAAAAAATTGTTAGTTAAGTTATAACTGGCCATGGAAGGGATAGGGGAGTCACGTATTTCTTCTGTACACATAGATTGGGGTTATATGTACGAATTCCAATGGCTTCAGCTATATATAGGAGACGGGAACGGACTCCGTCGGGAAATGATGGAGGTATACGATAGATAACTCGAAATGATTTCGATTTCTCTACTGTATGACCGCTATCAATAAGATGTGCTAGTATAGAAGACACCTATGATCAAATACTAATAGCCTACGGATGTCCTCTACTCTTACCGGCCATGTTTCACTGCCATAAAGTAGGACGGAACGAACTGCTGCGCAGTAAACCCGTCCTTTGGTTGATAGACGGATATCTCGCCTACGCCATAAATGACGCAGGTTGGCAAAAGCTAGTCGAGCCTTCTGTATCCGTGCTGAGATTTCGTCACACACCAGACCACAAGGGCTGATTAGACTTCCAAGATAAGTGAAGCGGTCGACACACTCAACTAGTCTTTAGTAGGTAAAGACTATAAGTGATATGATTCGGAACCTGACGCAACGGTGCGGATTGATTAGATCTTCATATTTTTCTAACTCATCATCTATTTTCCTCTTTTAGTCCCATATCTTGTTTATTTTACTATTCTTTCAGCCTAATTATTATTCTCTTTTCGTGCTGTTGCAAAAAGCAACAACCTTGTCTGATTAGTATTTTTGCATGGTTCTATATTATTTTATCTATCTGTCTCATAGTTTTACGTTTTATTTACTTACTTACTTACGCCTGTTACTCCCAATGGAGCATAGGCCGCTGACCAGCATTCTCCAACCCACTATGTCCTGGGCCTTCTTTTCTAGTTCCATCCAATTCTTGTTCATTTTTCTCATGTCTATTTCCATTTCTCGGCGTAATGTGTTCTTTGGTCTTCCTCTTTTCTTTTGGCCTTGAGGATTCCATGTGAGGGCTTGTCTTGTGACGCAGTTGGGTGCTTTCCTCAATGTGTCTCCTATCCACTTCTAGCGCTTCTTCCTGATTTCTTCCTCCACTGGGATCTGGTTTGTTCTCTCCCACAGTACGTTGTTGCTAATAGTGTCCGGCCAATGGATCAGAAGTATTTTGCGTAGACAATTGTTAATAAACACCTGTATTTTCTGGATGATGGCTTTTGTAGTTCTCCAGGTTTCTGCCCCATACAGTAGAACTGTCTTGACATTTGTATTGAAAATCCTGACCTTGGTGTTGGTTGACAGTTGCTTTGAGTTCCAGATGTTCCACAGTTGTAAATATGCTGCTCTTGCTTTGCCGATCCGCGCCTTCACATCTGCATCAGATCCACCCTGTTCATCAATGATGCTGCCCAAATACGTAAAGGTTTTTACATCTTCCAAATCTTCTCCGTCAATTGTGATTGGATTGGTGCATTCTGTGTTGTATCGGAGAATCCTGCTTTTCCCTTTGTGTATATTGAGACCTATTGCTGCTGAGGCTGCTGCCACACTGTTTGTCTTCTCCTGCATCTGTTGTTGCGTTTGGGATAGAAGGGCCAGATCGTCTGCGGAGTCTAGATCATCCAACTGCATCTTAGATGTCCATTCTATCCCGCGCTTTCCTTCAGACGTTGACGTCTTCATGATCCAGTCGATCACCAGGAGAAAGAGAAAGGGTGAGAGTAAGCAACCTTGCCTAACACCGGTCTTCACTTCGAACGACTTTGTCAACTGTCCTCCATGCACAATTTTGCAGTCTAATCCATCATATGAGTTCTGTATGATATTGACTATCTTCTGAGGCACACCGTAGTGTCGAAGAAGGTTCCATAGTGTTGTTCTGTCCACGCTATCAAATGCCTTTTCGTAGTCAATGAAGTTGATGTAGAGTGATGAATTCCATTCAATTGATTGTTCCACAATGATCCGTAGAGTTGCGATTTGGTCTGTACACGATCTATCCTTACGGAATCCTGCCTGTTGGTCACGAAGTTGGACGTCTACGCAGTCCTTCATCCTGTTTAACAATACCATGTTGAAGACTTTTCCCGGTATTGAGAGAAGAGTGATGCCCCTGTAGTTATCACACTTGCTGAGATCGCCTTTCTTCGGTATTTTGATCAGAAGTCCTTCTTTCCAGTCTGTTGGTACTTGTTCCCCATCCCAAATCTTATTTAAGAGAATGTGGAGTATCCTTGCAGTTGCCGCTACGTCTGCTTTTAGTGCCTCTGCTGGGATGTTGTCCGGTCCTGCTGCTTTGCCACTCTTGATTTGTCTGATGGCCATGCTGATTTCTTCAATTGTTGGTGGGCCAACATTGATTGGGAGGTCCGTGGGTGCTGCTTCGATGTTGGGTGGGTTCAGTGGAGCTGGTCGATTCAAGAGTTCTTTGAAGTGTTCTACCCACCTGTTTTGTTGCTCTTCAATGTTGGTGATTACCTCGCCTTCCTTGCTTTTCACTGGTCGTTCTGGTTTGCGGCGATTTCCAGAGAGTTTCTTTGTCGTGTCATATAATTGTCTCATGTTTCCTTCTCTTGCAGCCTTTTCTGCCGTCATTGCTAAATCTTCCATATATTTACATTTGTCGGTTCTGATGCTCCTCTTCACTTGTTTGTTTATTTCTGTGCATTCAGCTTGTGCCTTGGCTTTTTCTGCTCTTGTTCGGCTGGTATTGATCGCTGCCTTCTTGTTTCTTCTTTCTTGAATCTTATCCAGTGTATTAACAGTGATCCATTCTTTGTGGTGGTGCTTCTTGTGACCCAGGACCTCATGACATGTTGAAGTGATTGCCTCTTTGATCCCCTTCCAGTTGCTCTCCACAGTAGTTCCTTCTCCATTGAGTAGATCATGAAAGGCCTGGAACTTGTTGCTGAGGACTATCTTGAATTTGTTGAGTTTGTTAGTATCCTGGAGAAAGGCCTTATTGAACTTTTGTGATACTGTCTGCCCCGTTGTCTAGTACTTCTTGAGTTTCAATTTCATCTTGGCGACCAGTAAGTGATGATCTGATGCTATATCAGCTCCTCTCTTGGTTCTCACGTCCTCTATAATCCTCCTGAACGTTTTGTTGATGCAAATATGGTCGATTTGGTTTTGTGTAGAGTGATCCGGTGAAGTCCATGTGATTTTGTGTGAGCGTTTATGTGGGAATACGGTGCCGCCTATGACCAGCTTATTGAAGGCACATAGATTTGCAAATCTCTCACCATTTTCGTTTCTTTCTCTCAGTCCGTGTCCTCCCATGATGTCTTCATATCCAGTGTTGTCCGTTCCAACCTTGGCATTGAAATCTCCCATCAGAATGGTCAGGTCCTTTGTTGGGCACTTCTCGACGATTGACTGCAGCCAATTGTAGAATTGATCTTTAACGTCTTCATTGTAGTCGTTGGTAGGCGCATAACTTTGGATGATGTTCATTGAAATGCCCTCTTTCTTTATTTTGAAGGAGGCTTTGATGATCCTTGGTCCATGAGATTCCCATCCTATAAGTGCATTTTGCGCTTGTTTGGACAGCATCAATGCAACTCCTTGTGTATGTGGTGCATTTTCTTCTTCATGGCCGGAGTATAACAAGAGCTCTCCTGTAGTTAGTCGTTGTTGTCCAACTTGTGTCCAATGTGTTTCACTGATCCCAAGCACCTTTAGGTTGTATCTCCTCATTTCTACAGCAATCTGGAAGGCTCTTCCGGTGTCCCACATTGTACGAACATTCCATGTACCTAAATAAATGGTCGCTCTGGTTGTCAGAAGGGGCATCGGCCTCGTAACTTCCGAAGGGATTCGGCTTTCATCATGAGGCGTCATAATTCTTCTAAATGAAGACCTTACTCCCAGGGCAGAGTTTAAAAGGTTTGAATAATTTTTTCTGGTTAGCGTTTTTTTAGCGAGTTAGTTTTCTACATATAAGCGACTAAGGCATCTGGGAAAACATACCTATGTTTTTATATTTGTTTTATATTTAATTTCTACCTCAGAGCAAAACAGCTGGTTGAAGTCAACTATCTTTGTGTCCATAAAAAATTACGTTCTAAACGTATGGCCCCTGTACTGATTCGAGAAGTAACTCGTCGTGTTCATCTACGTGGGAGATTTCAGGCTTTGTTTACGAGTGGAACTTTACTTCCAAAACCAGTCAGCAAATGTCGGTATGTTTCACAGTTTTATTGCCTTCAAAATTTAATTTATCCAAAGGTATTTTCATACAAGTAAACTTTAGGTTGATTGGTCGATAAGGACAGTAGCATGCCAAATATTTATTTTGTTCTCAATGTGTTGTTGCATTTAATCGTAATCAGTATGTAGTTTTGATACTAAAGATCTATTCACACATTTTGCAGAATTTAAACTATCCGGAGGTGTAGTTTACAGACCAATAAGGAAATTAATTGAAAACAATTTATTCTCTAGTAAATTTTTGCCCCAATTTCATGGTTATGTATTTAATAAATCTTTAGATTTATAGAAGTTTTGATGTATAATTAGCATTATGCTTTACACCAGATAGTGGGTTTCCCCATTAAAGTTGAGATATATCTAGACTGCTAACGGTTATTTTGCTTCTGTGTTAAGATCACCTACAATGGTTGGCTAAAAACACTTGTTTGCACTACTAAAACAGGTCTATAATTTTTTAAAACTGTTATTAAAACTTTTGTTGTTGTCACTATTTTCCATTCATTGATTGTAAGTTATCGAAGCTATATTGCTTACCTGATATGGCTCTTTATTTTTTTTGCCGGTTTAACGAGTTAAGATTTTTGCTGATAGTTATATTCAGTAGATAGTTTTTCTCTACTTTTCCTAGATATTGGCATCGTCCTCTTAATCCACGTAAACTTCTTGAATGTGGATTTTCACATCTTACTCACAACATGACTCTTCAACGAACAATTAAACTATACAGATTACCTGAAGCTCCTCTTGTCAAAGGTTTTCGTCAAATGACAAAAAAAGATGTTCCCAAAGCATGGCCTTTATTATCTGAGGTGAATTTTTTTATTAATTACATCTGTATTCTGAAAATGACCAGGTTTCTATAAAAGCAACATTTAATAAAATAAGAGTTTATTACTTCAAAAGACATAGCTCATCAATTATTCCGAATAAACATCTGTCATAAAGCTGCTAGTAGTTTGAAGAATAAAATATGAGCAAAACGCATCAGCAAAAGTGATGTCGTTTTTGAATATACGACTGTTTTCTGAATACATATAATAGTCATACCTTGCAAGTATAGAGTTGTATTTAGGAGGTAGTATATGAAGTATTGTAGAAAAATGGGATAACTACGAAGTCTTGTGCATTTTGTTGTAGTAGCTACATCGTTAACACCGAAAGTACATGTTATAACACGTATGTAGGTGCATATGAGTAAACTCAGCGCCACAGTCTTCAGCCAGAATTTTTTCTTTACCTCCAATAAATCTTAACCTAGCCTCCAAACTACTGAAACGTCGAAGGTTCACTTCATGCTCCAAATGACGATAATACAAGACAGTGAGTTGTGATTTATGCCCTTTTTAAGTTTTCCTTGAAAATCAGCCCCATCCAAGTCACGAATTTAGGGCGTCGGATCTAAAAAGTACCCATACGGTTTCAAAATTTAAAATGGTGATTATTAGAAACCTCCTTCCCTTATTGGTGTATTTTCCAACGGTAAAGTAGTATAGCCTAATATTTCACAAAAACTTCGTGTTCGTTATTAACTAGGAGTAATTGTTATTGTTTAGCTCTGTAGTGTGTGCAGTGCTTGTAAATCCCGTCCTAATAATTTACTCATTTAACCTGTAGATTATGAATTTATTGTTTTCCTACATACAGATGTCTTAGCAGCTGATACAGAAAGGTGTACGCAATAATGAGGTTCTAAAAAAGATGATAGGAAAAGTTCGTACTGTTCAAATGTAGCCATTTTCTAAAGAAATTCCCATAATTCAGTGTTATTATAACTTTGATTTCTGTTTTATTCTCAAAAATGTTCTTCATTTTGTTGATTGGTTCACTGCTTTAGTACTTGGAAAAGTTTAATATTCATCCAATTTTTACAAAAGAAGAATTTCAGCATTTCTTTGTTCCTCGAGATGATGTTGTGTATTCTTTCATAGTTGAGGTGAATATCTATTATTATTTCATATTTGTTTAATGTTATGTTTTTTTTTCTACTTTTTTTACTTTCAACTATGTGCTCATTTATAATTTGGTTCCATTTATGAATTAGAATAAAGCAAGAACAAATTGTAGCAGAATAACATGAATTGATTTTTATTTCGTGGGTTCTCATCCATTACACGTTCAGTTATATTGCGTGATATTAGTTAATAAGCATTAGTGATAGAAGAATTAAAATGACAGGCGTTATCAATCCAATTTTTTATTTTATTTTATTTCAACACATAAATATTGGTACAAGGAGGGACCAAATATATATGCGCCACACCATATTTGTGTGTGGGCTGTGATACTGCCCGGGTGCCCAGACCAAAACAGGTGCTTTTCATCGGGGGCCACACCCCGAGCCTTCAACCTAAAGGTCTAACCCACAAGGCAGTGGAGCATCGTGAGGAGATGCATTCCCATGATAGCCGGTGACCAACGATTGGTTCATACGCCATTTGTTCCCTCAGGATACTGTAGCGCATGTGCACCATTGGTTTGGAATCCGGTTAAAGCGCCGGACATTCGCTTTTCGTCCTCTCATTTCCGTAAACAACATCCCCGCCACGATAAGTCAGTGAGTAGGACTTCCCTGGCAGAGGCTTTATACGCGTGGCCGTGTGAGAGTATATTTCCCACCTCACTCTCGGCCATACCAGGGCATTTGGGTGCTATCAATCCAATACTATGTGATAATGCTTTTTAATTTCATCATATACAAATTAGCAAATAATTCGTTATGACATACCTTTTTGCAAGATGTGAATCTTTTGTTTATCTATAAAAAGCTGTGCAATTAGAAATACAACATCCGAATGTATCCTTCATTGGTACCTATAAACGTTAATTTTATTGGTGAGAGAATTTAACTCCATTCTGCAATTTCGAAAAGCCGAAACACATTTATCCGACACTGATTATGTTCATTGGTTTAATTTTCTATTTCACTTAATTTTAGAATGGAGATGGGCAAATCACAGACTTCTGTTCGTTCTATGTCCTTCCCAGTTCAGTGATGAAAAGCAAACAACACAATAGCCTTCGCGCGGCCTACTCATTTTACAATGTTTCTACGGTAACACCATGGCCTGCATTAATTCAAGATATGTTGATTTCAGCCAAACAAGTAAGTCTTCATATATATTCTTGTTAGATATGTAAATATATGTCTGGTATACATTTATATTAATTAAAATTGAGGATAATATATGTTGTTAAAGAAATATTTCCCCTCTTTAATGCTTCAGGAAGCTGTATAGAAAATATAAAGATAAACTCAGGTGTCTGGATCAACATGTTTTAATGTTAAAATGATGGTGAATTTTTATTCAGATAATTTTTTAGTTTCACTACCGATTCCCTACCGATAGTTATCACTGGCTACATACATTAATTATCTTTCTGTACATCATAAATTTTATAGTAGTTTCCTCTAAATAAATTGGATTATGACTGTGTTTGTGTACACGAAATAACTGTCTTGTTTTAGTTTACTAGTTAAAATTAATGGAATTTAACCATTGGACTACAGCTTACGAATACCTTGTATGATTTACCGGATTAGCGTACCCTAGGTTGATTAAAGTTAAAAGATTATTTTGGCTTCTTGAAATATTTATTTATGAATATATATAAATAATTGGGTTTACAAAAAAAATAATTATTATGTTAGGTTAAGGAACTCATATTCAAGATGATAAACTCTATAACAACAGTCAACTCTCAAAACTGTTAACCACAAAAGTGACCAGTTCAACATGACCGAACTTATAAAAGGTGTGTCAACAGATAAGGAAACTGTTAGTTTTTGTTATAATTTTTCTTATTGAGACCCAGCTACTCCTATTGCTTAATGTTCTTGCACACTACTTCACTAGACAAATCACCAAAACAGAACACGGTTGAAGAGGAACGAGACTGTTTCAAATAACAAGAGGTAGATAGAAGTAGGAATCACAATCAGAAAAACGTTAGTATATTTTTAGATTTTGCATGAGAAGATTCTAGTTTTCTCCAAATATCCACTAGCACTGATTGGATAAGAAATAGCTAATCAGCGCCCCTTAACATAATCCTACACGGAACGTGCTTTATATTCCGCCAACAGTTTTTGATAAGACAGTGAAACGCAAGCTACTCATGAGTAACGCACGGTGAGACTATAATTTATGGACGACTTTTGAGCGACGCTAGACTGACTTTCAGAGCATCCACCTAATAACCAAGACCAAATGAGTGTTATAAACCTGTGTGAGGAATTAGAATTAGAATTTACGGTTGATGATTAAGGTTAGGAATTAGATTTCGGGTTTTCATCACGAACTGACATCAGCTATAATGCCAAAACTCTATTTATTCAAATGGATGAGTGAATTTCGCACCAAAATCCGAGACCTTTTATCTTCTACGTGATTGGTTCGTCCATACATTATAGTCTCACTTAACACACATAAAGCAAAGAGATTGCAAAATACAATTTGAGAAGATGAATTGAGCTTCTGGGCTACCTGTTCCTGCCATCTAGATATTTCAACAAGTTATCTATTTTTGTTTGTTTTAATATATTATGTTTATTAATCGCATGACCTATTGTGCTGCGTTTCTGAAAAGTGTACAACCTTTCGTTGTCAAAGTTACAAAAAACTCAGTAACAGACAATGTGGTTGCTAGCAATTTACTGAACTGCTAGCATCTAACTGGCGATCACTCAATATTTATCGCCAGGACCGACCAAGAAGAAAGAAACGGAAACTTGTTGAAATACTTTACGCTGAGAATTCTATATTGTACCAAAAATATAATATTGAATAAAGCTGATGATGATAATGATAATAATATATAGCAGATTTACATTTAAATGTAGTTATACACTAAACTTGAACAGGTTTTTATAAATGATAAAAGTGGTACTTCTAGGATGTTTTATTTATTGTTAGACAGTCCATTTTTTTAAAATTATGTTAATAATTTAAAATAATCAAACTTATTACCTTTCATACATCCATCGGTTTCATTCTTGCTTTATTTAAACTTTTGAAGGGAAACAACTTTATGAAACTTTTAATCAGTAAATCTTACACACATCATTTTATCTTCTTCAATTTGAAAAGCTAAATAGTATCCATGAGCCCCATACAACTAAAGATTAGTCCACACTGAGTACACAAGCATGTATTTCATGACTCAGTTCATAGTTTTCTTCATGTATTAACCTTTTGATCGTTTTGTTATGTTCTTTATCACGAAAATTATCAACCTTTCAAACTGCAAAAATCGATAACCTTTCCTTTATTATTGTTTTCAGTTTTAGTTGTTTCAAAATACTTTTTATGACGTCTCCAACTTTTTATTATTGTTTTCAATCGATTCATTGAAAAATTTCTACGATTTACATTGGATTGTTTACTTTTAGTACATTTCATGTTTTTCACTTCATTTGTTCACTATGGTGTATCAATACTCTTATAATTTACAGTTAAAGTTTGACGTATTCAATGCTTTGGATCTAATGGAGAATGGAAAGTTCCTAGAAGAGTTAAAATTCGGCATTGGAGACGGTGATCTACATTATTATTTGTATAACTGGCGTTGTCCATTCACTAAGCCCTCTGAGGTTTGTTAATTTTTTAATATTCTCTGTTGTCTTTTCTATTTAATTGATTTGTATTCGAAGCGCTTTCTTTTGCTTCATGTAAACGTTTTGTGAGACCTCTGAATGTTCATCTTGAAGGTTACCTCGACAACTTTAATAAGTTTATGGAGATATTAGATTGTATACCTCAAAATAGACCACCGTGATAAAATTTTATTCATTCCTTCTCTCTCCTTAATTCTTGAATTTCTTGTATCGTTAAATTTCACGGGCGTTATATACATTAATAAAAGTTTATTTTTGGTGTAATATTATGAAAAATGCTAATGTCAAAGTAATGGTAATCCAAACTGGTAAATATTGCACGTCATTTAACAACGACATCACAACTCATTCTCTCTTCAAAACAATGGTTTAAATCAAGATAAACTTTACATTCTATAGAAGTAACGGTTTTCATTCATTTGTAATCTTACCACAAAGGTCCAATTAACTTCATGTATAATACCACACTGAGTTCTGATTGAAGTGTTTTAAATTCTATGTTGATCATAATATTATAGATTTCTATATAAATAACTCTCGAGTTAGTAAATATTCTTCAGGCATTCAGCAGATTCATACTTAAAAATTTAGGTACTCATTTACTTGTGTGATATCATTGTATGTCGATGTACATTTCACGCGTATATAGTCTCAAAATGCTCTCACACGGTCACGCGTATACAGCCTCTGCCAGGGAAGTCCTACTCACTGACTTATCGTGGCGGGGATGTTGTTTACGGAAATGAGAGGACGAAAAGCGAATGTCCGGCGCTTTAACCGGATGCCAGACCAATGGTGCACATGGGCTACAGTATCCTGAGGGAACAAATGGCGTATGAACCAATCGTTGGTCACCGGCTATCATGGGAATGCATCTCCTCACGATGCTCCACTGCCTTGTGGGTTAGACCTTTAGGTTGAAGGCTCGGGGTGTGGCCCCCGAAGAAAAGCACCTGTTTTGGTCTGGGCACCCGGGCAGTATCACAGCCCACACACAAATATGGTGTGGCGCATATATATTTGGTCCCTCCTTGTACCAATATCTATGTGTTAAAATAAATAACTAACATTTCACACTTATCTCATGCGGGACGACACTTCATGGTTGTTTTGCTCCAATATCTCGCGTTGTTGTACAGATTGAAGTGATTATATGTGTTGAATACTTTAGTGATTGGAAGATTTGCTACAGCTTAAAACTAATACATACGTTTCGTAAAGTTCAAATAAGGGAAAGTATGATTGTTTCAAAGTATTCATTCATGTATGATGTATGAATGAAGAATATTTTTTACATCAAACTCCTAACAAATTGTACAGTTTTCATTCTAATTCTGATATCCCAGCAAAATAGTCTTAAGATTAATACAACTTTTAACACTTCGTATCTGTTATTGTCTGTAAGTGTAGAAATGACTAGTATTTGATCCATACTGGAATCAGGTTTTAGGGTAGATAGAATCATGAGAAGAATAAGTAGCGGAGGATAAGAAACAATTATCAATAACGATATCAAAAGTTCGGTCATGGATTGTTGTTTCGAGTATAGTGATATAAATTACGATGATTTGTTAATACAAATTGTCTAAATGTTTAAAAGCTAAGTATCTTTAAATTAAATAAGTTCAAAGGTGTAATATATACTTACATGGAGCTTATTGCATCACTTGGTATTTAACATGGTTATATAACTTGTCTCAATTAGGTGTAATAGGTATTTTCACAATTGCTCCACTACTAAGAACTATATATATATATATATATATATATATATATATATATATATATATATACTTCATTTATTTTGAAAACCTATTTAGTCGGATAATAAATGTAGTGCTAAGTTCGAGTCTAGAACTTGAATGTCTTCTCAAATTTCAATTCAGTCTACTGGAATTATCAGAATATGTTTTTTTTATTGAATAAACCACATATGTATACACAAGTATTAACGGAAAAATAAATACGATTAGATGCCTTTGGGGGAAATCATATTTTCAGGTCACTCATTCTCGATTCATTTAAGACCTTGTTGTTCAGCCTAATTTTTTTCTCATATCCCATTTACCTTAGTTTGATATATTTTTTTCAAAATAATGAAACAACTATTCATTTATTGTGTTTGTTTTATTTGTTAAATGTACTGATTGTTTATTTCTTTTATTCTATTAAAATCATTTTACAGATTGGAATAGTATTACAATAAATGAAATACTGCCGAAATTTTGCATTGACATCTAACATTATTAAGTACATCAAATCTGCATATCTTTTCACGCTTTAATGTATCATATACTTTCTGTTCAGTGAACTTTACAAACCATTCTGAACCTTTAAACTGAATAAATTTTCAAAATTTCCTTTAATTCGCTGTAGTTATCTTTGTCTTAGTTTCATAATCGTTCTTACTGATCAATGAAATTGTTTTGAAATTCATATGAGCATTATGTCGAATAGCTTATCAATTGTCCTCGATTCCCCTTTCAATTTCCCTTTTTCTTCAGCTTTTAAAAATGACACAAATTGTACCTTACTCTACTGTTAGGGTTTGTCAGTATTTTTGTCTGTTCTTTGAAATATATTTCTACATATGTATACCGGTAAATCGATTAAATTCTTTATTTCTCAGTGTAAATTATGTGATTTTCATTTTTTTTTAAAAACGTATAAACAAGTAGCGTAGTTAGTGGTTATGGGCCAATTGTAAGATTTCATTTTGTATGTTGTAAATCAACTGTAGTGGAATCAACTTATTAGACGGTTATGTTCGGTTGTTTTTAGCGAAAACGTTTAGAAAGAGGTGTAACCTGATTTCCATAGCTACCTAATCAAGCCTTTTTAAGCTTGCACACCATGTCTATGTCGAGGTATTTTAATCTTGACTAGTGGAAACTTATGAATTTGTAAACGATCTGAGTTCAGTAATATATCTGAAAAAGGTAACAAGAATTGTATTTTGAAGTTTTTCAGTTATGATTTATAAAAGCTGGTAAACTTTTTAATGAATAATAATTTAGAATCCTGTCATTACACAATCGTTTAAGCATAAAACTGCATCTAAAATAGAGTTACAATCATCCATAAAACAATGAATATTGGTAAAAAGTATTTGAGACTTAACGATGTAAAAATTCTTTACTAATTTGTGAATAAGAGTTTAATTCCCGCTTCATCAGTTCACAAATATTGTGTTTTACGAAATTGTTTATACTAATCTTATAAATTAAGGTTTTGTAAACGCGATTTCGGAGTTTGTCCAGGGGAACTTCACAAAATTGTCTAAAGTCAAGTGCAATAGGAAACGCTGATTTTGCAAATTATCTTTAACACCAATTATTATCAATGTGGGAAATGACCATCACAAGAAATGATGATTCATAATATATAATATGACAATCTTATTTTCAAATGTTTGTCATATTCTCGATGGAAATCCTGATATTTTATGTTCTTATGGATAAATTGTTGTTATTTTTTAGTAATTTCCAATAAAAGGTGTATAGTGCTATCATCAGTAAAGAATAGACTTCTGTTATTTCGGTACATAATTGAGTTTGTATTGTTTTATCACTATCTATGTGGAATTTTTGTCGTTGTGTAAGACGAAAATCAATTGTAGTTAGATGATGTTTACGAAAACAACGATACTGAATCAAGTATCATCAAAGTGGTTGTACGACTAATAGGTTTCACGTGCAGTAACTAATTATTAGATGAACTTGAAAATATACAGAAATTCATTCAAAAACATCGGGACGAGATAAGTCTAGTATGAATAATAATAATGATGATATAGATTTAAATGTCTCGATTCCTAGTTTAGATCCTTTTTTAAAGAAGGAGCTGACAGTCGAAAAAACAGACCAACAAACAGTTGACTGATATTTCATCAAATCTTAATCAAGTGCAGATCCTACTTAGGCTCTTTAACCGGCGGTCTCAAACTTGACCTTTTTCACATATGTTCAATGATATTTATGGTAAATTAATGAGGTCAAGTTGAATCCATGATTATTTAGAGACTGAAACTACAATTAGGATCCAATTCATGTTTACAACTAAATTATATAAATGAATGTTGCTAAACATTTTCTTCAAGCTATTTCGAGGTATCATGTTCATGATTATAATCCATGAATTTTCATTCTATAATTAAACTAAATTACATTTTAAATTTACAGAAAACACTTCTGATTACTTGAATATTTTACTGAGGAAAAAATATTGACATAAGAAAAATAAATCTAAATAAAAATGAAAGAAGGAACACTTCACATTTGTTATTTATGTATATTTCTTCCATGTTACGTGTGTGTCTGTTTGTTTGGTTTATTTGTTAGTGTAATAACATTTATTTAATTTACCAGATAGTGACCGAAACAAGTAATGTAATGTGAATGCATTTGTTTTTATAAATTAGTTTGATTTTTACTTTAAAAGTTTTTATTTTGCATGTAGAGGACATTTAGTTGAATTTGTTGTTTGTGCTGCATACGATTTTGTAGAATAGTTACGTGGTCGTCCATATAGTTGTATGGCATCGATAATAGTTGACATATGTGATGTGGAATTGATTTCAACAAATCTTTTCAATCCACTATCATATCTTAAATGGACATAAAAAGATACAAATTTAAAAAAAAAAACGAGCAAAGTGAATTTTTTCTTTAACTTGTTAAGAAGAAACGTGAAAAAGCGATTATGATGATCGGGAAACAATTTTTACGGAAATCAACCGACATATTTTTTACGTATTTACCAAATAGTTGGTTCATAGCATTTTCATATTATCTTAATTGTAAGCTTTCATTCAATTCATTAACGATTGGAAAGCTTTCTGTCAATCGATTAATGATAGTTAGTAAATCATACAGCTATTAATCAGATTTGTATCACAAATTTTTAAGGGTGTACCTATTGAGGATTGCTATTAACTATCTGTTGTGATCTTGTAATTTATCTATATAAGAACGTGAGTTGTGACTATAAATAATGTTCGTACTTGTAATCAGTTATTTAATTTGTTAGTGTTCTGATTGGAAGTTTGGGGACTTAGGAATCGGAGTAACCTATCAATCAATCGACGAATACAGTAAAATAATACTAGATTCATTATTAGTGGTATGGTATAAGCATGATATTAGTGGGGAACCATCGAGAACTTGTGTACGCTGAACGATTGTACATTAATTAACAATTTTTATAAAGCAATTTAATAATTTCCGGGAACCAAAATCTTAACGATGACTGACTTTGAAACGCATTTACAAAATTCTGATGAAACTTCGTTTGCTTCAGCCATATTGAAAACCACACATACCATCAATGGTAGTAAATGATAGTTACATAATATAATGAATAGGCCACAGTCAGAAATGTAAGCTATTAAGACTTAGCCCCTCAACTTCACAATATATTAGTTGGTACTGTGTTTGTCGTGTGGAGTTTAAGGGAACATCCCTACGAGCTCCCAAATTAGGATGAGGGCTCCATCCATTATCTCATGATTCTTAGTGGTTTTCCATTCCATATTGAAAACCAAATGCAGTTACGTTTGTATATATTATGGATGATGGATGTTATGATATTTAACTAGATAGTAACAGTTATCTAACTTGAAAATCAAATTTATGTACAGCCAAATATTCAGCCTTGAATTACAGTGATTATGTAAAGGGGAGTGATGGTATAAAACTGTTCAAATCGAAATGTGTGTGAGTTTGTAGTCCGTTAATTGAAAGCTGAATGGTTTAAACACTAGTCACATGAAATTTACTGGTATTTAAAAACGACCAAATAAGTGGAATTATGCAATTACCATTTAAAAGTGATCAAATGCAAATATAAACGATGGGACAATTATAGAAATTTGTTGTCTAATCAACTAACTTATAGTATTTATCAACCATATTGTTTTCAATTTTACTTGGTCCTGTTCCACTAATACGAATCGCTTTTTCAATAATCGGTAAATAATTATATAATCCACTGTACTGACATTGACTTTTTAAAAGAATTATAAAATGTTTACCATCTGAACATCCAAGAGCCTGAAATAGAAGAAACAATGAGATTTATTTGAAATTACTATCACACAATTATTTTATCTAATGGAGTTATCATTTTGAATAATAAATGAAGAGTTCCACATTAGGACGAAACAGCCATCCAGTGCTTCCAGGTTTTTCATGGTGGTTTAGCTTCAATTGACTCATAATCTCAGCTATTAAATTACTATAATATCCACAAAAAACTATTTCTGATAATAATCATCATATGCTCACTAGTGACTGAATTCAAGATGTATATCTTGGAGTTCTAGTAAGAAGCAGTGACCAGTGGAGTTCAACCGGGTCTGTTGTAAGAAAGTAACTCAGTGAAGACAGTGGCGAACGGTGGCTCAATTTCGTGGATTGGTTGAAGTTAGACATTCACACCGTTGGATGCCGGTTCAGTGGTCTAGAGGTTAAGCGTTCGCGCGCGCGAGACAGGTCCAGGATTCGAATCTCACGAGGCGGGATCATGGGTGCGTACTGCTGAGGAGTCTCACACTAGGACGAAACGGCCATCCAATGCTTCCAGCTTCTATGGTTGTTAAGCTTCGAGTGACTCATGAATTCAACTACCAAATTACTATAATATTCACAAAAACCCCTTTCTGAGAATAGATGAATACTAATTTCTGTGAATAACAATTTTCTTTAAAATTTATTTTCTTTTAATGCAAATCATGATCTATTGTATTAATTTCAATTGTTTGTTATTCATTAGTTCAATGTAAATCTTTTTACTGACCAATTTATTTCATGTTTTACTGTTCAATCATTTAAAATAATATAACTGAATTTCCATAAATAATTGTTACTCATCATTCAATCTATCATCATTTTAAGACAATCGGTCAAATAGAGCTATGTAACCTAAGAAAAAAAACTTTTCACAATAACATTGTCTGATCCTAGTTTAAAGAGCATTAAGGAATGAATTATTATTATTTTTTTCATCTACATTAAAGAATTTGCATTTTATAAGAATGATTCATTATATAGTTGACTAACTTCGAATACAAGGAGATAGTACTACTGATGAAAAACAACTAGACAATAAAGATCAAGTTGGACTAAATGATTGTATGATATTCAAAAATGAAGAATATTTGAGCGAACAATTGTATTCAATAACTTCATCATCAGGCTCTACAGTTGTAAGTCCATAATAATGATATTTTACAAAGGCCAAAAATAAGGGATGCTTTAATGAATTTGACATTGTGATATGTTGAAAATGATGAACGTTTGCATCTGTTACGATATATATATACTTCAAAATTGTGTTATTCGCAAATTACAAAGGTCATCCTAGTCCTATAAACAACAGATGCTTTGACTCATTCATGAGTGAAATCTACAAAAGAAAATCTCTTATTTTTCTCATTATTTTGACCTTAACCATTGCATTTTTATTTCGTATACTTTAGTTTTCGACTATCCCAATCCGATTCCGCTAATTTTATTTAGTAACATTATGAGTTTAACATTCGTAATTGTTTTAGTTTTTATTTCACATCCTCTTGATACCTTCATGTTTTATTATTGAGACAAATAATTTTTATTTCAAAAAGCTTATTCCATTTTG